CCCCAAACCCCCAAAACCCCAAAACCCCAAAACCCCGCAAGCACAAGATACACTTGAAATCATAAAATTGATATTGAAGGTATTCAAGACCTAATTGGACGGGTGACTGATCAAGATCTGAGGGGATTCAAGAGAGCTATATTTGAGAAAATAAGACTTTGTGGCTAAATTATTTAGCTCATAACGTAATAAAAAAGCTAGCAAAGTTGAACAAAGTATAATATAGCTTAGGCATAATGATATACTTTGAAAACTAATCCATACCTTTCAAACTTAATTGTTTTTAACTCTATTGTGCTTCAACCTCATCAAGATATTCTTGATATCCTTGATCTATCATTTTGCAGGATCTCTCTATCTGCTATCCTTGAAGAAATCAGTTCCATGCCTAAGCTTTATAAAAATCTTACTCGCTGCTCAGATCCATATAGCTTACATCTATATAAGAGTTTAGAGATCCAATTATTTCAACAGCAAAATTTAAAATCTTCTTTGAAGCACCACCTTGGATCAACAAGAAGGGGACATTGCGCAAGGAAACGGGCTTCAAAGGTATCTCGAGGTATAATATCTTAGAGGACTTAGATTCTGAGATATTTAAAGTGCAGAAATATCAGTCCAAGTACTACAAAAGCAAACCTACACTGCTCTTTGCCGGAAAATTGATCAGAACTCTGCTCTTTAAGTCCATTGATACTTTCTGTCTCATCACAACTACCTATCTAAGCGACGATTAGAGGGAAGTTATTGTATAAGAAGGAGTAAATATCTACAGATCATTTATTTTTGTTCTTTACTAAGTTAAGAACCCGATATCAAAACCTGTTTACTCTGTTAACCATTTATTGAGAGTTCCTAAATTTCAAAATTTCGAAAACTCATATTTAAAATATTGAAGAAATCTAGAAGGATTTCCAAAACTTTGGCTACTTTTGCCCAACTAAAAGTTTGTTCTAAGTTTGTACTACTTAAGAATTACAAATACCATGAATTGTTTTGCTCTATAAACCAGGCTTATTCATTGAGAAAGCTATCAATTCCTTTCTCTCTAACTAAAGTATCTAATGAATAGCTCAATGAATGCTAGTTAACAGGAATGAACAAACTTCAGGCATTGGTTATACCATTTGTCTGCTCGAAGGCAACGTTGAAGGAGTCCTCTTTGTATCATATCCATTGGAGTCATAAGTTTTCTTTGATCCAGACTTTGGCCTCTCTCTAGCTTTTGGCTTTTGGATAGTCAAGTTCTTTCTCTTTGTCTTATCTGTAGTTATTTCAAATTCGTTCTTTTTCTTTTCTCTAAGAGATTGATATTTTTGCATTCATTGCTTCGATGTGACTCGGGCACATCCTTCTCTAAAATTTTTTTCTAAATTCTTGTTGACTTCTTTTTCAATTTTCTTCCAATTCCCTTTGTGTTTATTGACACATTTTATTAAATGCGTATCTTCACTTTCTTTCCAGTCTTTTGGCTTGAGGGTTGACCTTCTATTTTGCTATAAAGGATCAAGAGAGAAGTTTTACCAAAAACTGCCTCTTCCTTTGGTTGTACGTTGGTATGAGCTACCTCTTCAATTGAGTATGATACAGTTTCATGAGAAGAAGACCATTTATTTTCTTCCTTAAGATCTGACTTAGAAGCAATCTTAGAGATAGTTGACCCAGAAATATGACTTGTATGCATACCTTGCCTCTTCATTATAGGTTTAGAGTCTGACGAGCAAACTTTTAGCCGATCTCTCATATTTCAATCTTTTTGAGGCACTGGCTTATATTCAAATCTATTTATGAGTCTTCTCAGCTTTGGTAGACTTTAAGTTCAAAGAAGGTGATTTGTTCACTTTAGGGGAAACTTTCCTCTCTTCTTTCTCAATTTTGGTACTTTCACTGTCAATTTTAGACTCCTCTCTGGGGATCTCATCCATATTTGTTTGAAGGCTAAATTCGTTCCACCTTGGCCTTCTTTTCTTAGAATTTCTCTCAAAAAGTATCTTCTTCTGATAAATTCCAGCATGAGGCTTTATTTCAGGGTATCTTGGCAGTAAATTATCAATAGTCTCTTGCTTTTCAGAAGAATCAATAAAATCAGGGTCTTCTGTATTTGCTATCTCGCTATGGTTAATAGATATTTAAAAGCCATCTTTGGGAGCTTACCTTTCATCATAGCGGAAAGCTCTTCTTTTAGCAATATTTAATCTACAAACTAAATTAGAACTAATAGAGTTCTGTCTTGATAAAATATTTTCATCAAATATATCTTAACCTATGAAAACTTGCATACTTGAAGTTATCCTTAAGAGCTGAAAGCTTCTTTAGAGGATTATTCTTAGTTAATAAACTAAAATAAAGGTGCATCTAATTTAGATTTCCGCACATCCATTGCCAAAGATATAATTCTCCTTACCGATCAAAATGGGCGATGTTGTCTTCAAAATTCAGGTCAAATTGATAGGTCGCTTCTAAATATTAGATGTCCTGGTAGTACGATCTACGCCTTGCTCATATTCAGGGCCTTGTGAAACTCAGCTTCTTTCTTCCATCTAAATATTAACATTTAGAACAATTTCCTAAAACTAAGTAGGATTTAAGCTATTTTCTAAAGGAAAAGCTTCAAAAGGTTTGCTTTAAACGATTAAGAATTTGTACTATTTAGAGAAAACCAACAAGCTTTTAGTGGCTTTCGACAGGCTAAAGTTTGAACTTTGCTGACAGGGATTAGGATGAAAGTAATAGAGTGCGATATTTCCCCATATTTACTTACTAATTAGCTAAATATTTATTTCCAATGAGAATAAAACTACTTGGGGTTTTGGGGTTTTGGGGTTTTGGGG